GATTACAATGGTGTTGCTGTCCGGTGCAACTGACTCATCACACGTACAGTGCCGCCCGATTGCTGTCAAGCGTGCTTCAACCAGGCCAAAACCACATAAGCCGGGCAAGATGAAATGCAACATCTGGGGTGTTTTGCACTGCCGAAGGGCTGCTACTCGCCTGATATCTACGAGCACAAACACCACCAATCAACTTTTCTTTTCTGTTTTCCTTTCAATCGATTGCTCAAAATCTTGATAGGCTGATCAATTAAAGCTAAAGGTCAGGGGCCATTACCAAGAGGAGTACAGGCAAACTCATCAGAACGCCCTGGTCGTAGTTCCCTGGGTCTCTGGAGTTATTTGCGAATGAGATTCAATCCAAGAGGCTCCAGAAGATCAGCGCCTGGCCGGAATTCGTTTGCTACTTCGGCATCATGATCGCAAGTACCAGGATCTCTGCCATGATCGCGAGGGAGAAGGCGGTGATCGACACACATTGCCACCAAAAGCGAGAAGACGCTGCTTCCAGGGAAGAGATTGTTTCTCTCAAGTCGCAGCTTTTTCTCAGTCCAGTCCAGTCTTAGCCTAGAACAAAGGGTGAGAAAAACAAAGACATTTCTTCAACGATTTGCTAGTCCTGTGAAGCACATTCATGTAACTGGAATGCCTTGCAATTTGTCCCAACACTTACCTTAAACACGTGCAACTGAGCAAGAGCCCCATCTGGCAGCAGCAATGGGTGTGTGGTGACAGCAATCTTAGCAGCTAAGAACAGTGAAATTTATAACTTTAATAATAAAATACTTTCATAACCTGTTTCATCTAAAATTTTCTATACAAATTTCTTGCATTCATAAATATGAGATTATAAGACAATTAAAATTAAATTATAATATTCAACTATCATTCTTCTTATTGTGATACTAAATTACTAAAAATATTAATCAAGTGTGTTGTGAAGTGTATTGATTTTAATTATTTTTTTATTATAATTTTTACTGTAGATATTGGTAATTTATTTGCAATTTATTTATTAATTTATTAGAAAATTATAGTATGACAAAAAATGAAAGGATTAACATTCTCATACTCACAATATCCATTAATAAATTTATCAAATTTTGGTATTTCTAAAGATATTTTACTACCTTTTGAAAATCACCACACAATGTGAAATAAAAATCAAACGAAATTTGTTTTTATATATTTCATAGTTCCAATCATGTAATAAATTTTCTTCTAAAGTATATCTATACAATTTTAAATCATATAGTAGGAAATTAACTAATCGCTAGTAAGAGTTAAATATTTTTAATTTTTTCAACTTGCAAAACTAATTTTGGTATAAAAAACATAATATATATATATATATATATATATATATATATATATTTGTCTTAAATTCAAGTATGAAATATTTTTTGGTATTGTCATAGGAATTTCATTTGAAATTTTTATATATTTTACTTTATAAAAATTTATAAAAATGTAAAAAACTAATAATTTTTAAATTAAAAAGAAATATATTATATTTACATTTACAAAATAAATTGCACAATGCAAATAGTAAGGGTATGCCTTACTTTTGTTATTAAATTTTTATTTTTCTTCTCTTTACCTCTCCATCTTGATCATGCTCTCATTATGTACTTTATGGTATATTCTAAAATAATAATTATATACCTATAACTAAAGTTGTTGTAAATAAAATATTTATAGTTTAACTAAAAATGAAAAAAAGTTTATTTATTTTTTTGTCATTACAATAAATTTTTAAAAAAAATTAATTTCAGGAGAAATTTGGGTAAAGAAACTCAATCTTACATATTCTAAATAATAGTTGATTATAATCATATTAATAAAGTTCATTATTAAATATATCAATAAAATTTTAACTCATTTTAACCATAATGACTTAATCTTACTCACTCTAAAGTGAATTTCAGATAATGCTTATACGCTAAATTACATAAAAAATATGGATGATTGAGCAAAATTTAGAGAAAAATTAATTTGTTATGGATGCCTCACACTTCATCTGGAGAAATGTTTTATATCGCTTTTGCACAGCTGAAATTTCACATGAATTCTTCACAAATGTCCTTTTTTTCCCCTTTTTGTCACTCAAAATTACTATATCTTGCTTTATTGATTGCTACCTTACTCACTTAAAGTCTCATAAAAATATAATAAACTTTAAAATGAAATTTTTTTCACACTTCACATATAAAGTATAAAAAATGTGATAGTGGGTTTTAGGATTATGGTTTATTAGGATTTTGTGGCATTGAGAATTTTGCTCAATTAAATATTTGGCTAATGTGTTGAAGAGCTATTATAAATATGATATTATAACACAATTAAAATAAAAATATAATATTTACTTTTCATTCTTGTTATTGAGATATTAAATTATTAAAAATGTCAATCAAGTCTATTGTGAAGTATATTGATTTTAATTAATTTTCTATTATATTTTTTACTGTAAATATTTTTAGTTCATTCACTATAAAGAGAAAATTATAGTATGACTAAAAATGAAAGAATTAACATTCTTATACTCACAATATCTATTAATAAATTTATCAATTTTTGGCATCTATAAAGATATTTTACTACCTTTAGACAATCACTACACAACATAAAATTAAAAATCAAAGAAAATTTATTTTTATATATTTTATAGCCCCAATTATATAATAATTTTTTTTGTAAAGTATATTGATACAATTTTAAATCATATGGTGGGAAACTAACTAATAACTAGTAAGGATTAAAATTTTTAAATTTTTTAACTTAACAAAACAGTTTTAGTATAAAAAATTAATGTACATAATTTTTTATATTCAAGTATGAAATTGTTTTTTGTATTGTCATGTTTTTCTATATTATATTGGCTTGTAACTAAATAATGTTACAAAAAACTAATATTGTACTTTTTTTCATACTCTAAATTTTTAGATATGCTTGATTTTCATTTGAGAGATATTGAAATTGCAAGTATTTATTTCTCAATTTTATTTTAAACTTTTATGTTATTCAAGATATAGTTAATTACACACTATAGTGTTGTAATACACTTAATGTTAACTAATTATCATATGCAAAATAATACTTATCTATCATTGATACAAATTCGTGTGGATGTATATGGTCTAAAACAAATGTTTAGAACTGAAGACATGAAATTTATTGCTAAAAATACTTTATTTTCATTCTTTTTTGTAAATTTCATTTATAGTTTGTGTGTTTTTTTTAATGTATTCAATAAATATTCTATTCCTCTTTTATTCTATTCCTAGTTTAGTTTTAAGTGTATAATTATTATTTGTTTATAAACATTGAACAATAATAATCTATTATATATAAAATTAGTTTTTCACAAAATTTTCAAGATAATTACATATAATTGATGATGCTAACGTTTTGTTGAAATCATCATTTCTCCCATATCTCAAGAGTTCCAAGAGACTGCAAAATAGTCCTGTTGCAACTAAATCTTGTGTTTTGACACAAAGCATGACAAGATGTCCTTCCTGACGCATGAATATTGATAGGCATACTCTTTAGTTTAGCTGATTCTCTCAATGCTTACCTCTCCCCAATATATTTGCCATGAGGACATAAGCCGAGCTATCACCCTTGTCCTCCAGCTCCAAAAACTTCCCAAACGCAAACCGAGCCACCTTGATGTTATTCCACTTTGAGCATGTGCCAAGGAGCGTTGTCCAAGTCCGGGACGTCGGCGTAAACGGCATTTTCTCCACCAGACCAATTGCCTCTTGGAACAAGTTTGCTCGGCCCAGCATGCTGATTGCCGAGTGATACAAATTTCGGTCTGCCACAGTCTCATAGACCGCTGCATCGAAAAACTTGTTGCCTTTTTCAACGAGGCCGGAGCAGCTACAAGCAGCGATGATGCAGCACAAAGTCGCAGCGTCCGCTTGGAAACCTTCGTCTCTCATCCTTCCAAAGTTCTCGAAAACCTGTGCTGAGTTCCCTAGACAGCTATATCCGGCAATGAGCACCGTCCAAGCTATCAGGTCTCTTGTTGCGGATGAATCAAAGAACACCTGTGAATCCACCATGCATCCGCATTTGCCGTAGAAATCCACCAGGCAAGATCGTAAAGCTGGATTTTCCTCAACTCCACTCCGGCAAGCGTCGGCATGGACCTGTCTTCCAGCGTTTAGTGCCGCAAGATCACCGCAGGCCTTGAGTGCTGTGACCAAGACTCCAGCGTCCCTGCTCTGGAGACCACGAAGCTCTCGATGATCGTGGCAGAGAGCATAGATCTCGAGAGCCAGCTCTGGTTCTTCGTTGTCAACGCAGGCTTGCATCAACGCGGTGCTCGAGACGAGATCGTAACTCGGCATTGTGGTGAAGACTCTCCAAGCATCGGCCAAGGTTCCAGACTTCGCGTACAAGGTGACGAGTTTGCTCGCAACGTAGCTTTCCGTGTCAAGACCCAGTTCCAACGCTTGAGCATGAACAGCCATTCCTCTCTCCAGGCACCGGATCTTGGCCAGCTTTCCTCCATCGATAACTCGAGCTTCTTCCTTGGCAGCCAGGCTGATGCACGCCGTGAGAGCAGCGACGAAGCTCAAAGCCGTCGGATCACAGCATGTCGCAAAAATGGTGGTGAAGATCTCCAAAGCTGTCTCCTCTTCCCCGTTCTCGGCATAGCCGAGTATGAGAGAGTTCCACGAGACGACGTCGAGACGAGCAGCTCGGCTGAAAACTCGTCCAGCGTCGGTCATGCTCCCGCATTTAGCGTACATGCTCACAAGCGCACTGACCAAGAACACATCGTCAAAACTACATCCAAGTCTCAAAGATGAGGCGTGAAGATCCATACCTTTTCTCAGAGACTCGAGCTTGACAGTTCGTCCATGGATCTCCTCGCCACCCTCCTTGATCGCCAAGTTCGAGCAAGCCTTGGCCAGAGCTGCGAAAGTCCGAGAATCCGGTCGGCAAGCTTTCATGGTGGAGTGATCGTCGTCATGGACCATCTTCGCAAAGTAAGCTAGAGCCTGTTCTTCCTGCCCGTTCTCCGCAAAGCCAAGCAACAGCGAGTTCCAGGAGACAACGCTGGGAGCTTCCATTCCATCGAAAATCCTACGCGCTTCGACAATGCTCCCACACTTCGCGTACATGTCCACCAGAGAATTCGAGACAAAGACGTTGGAGTCGCAGCATCCGGCCATGGAAGCTCTCCAATGGATCCAAACTCCCATCTCCAGAGCCTCGACCTTTCTCGCATCGTCCATAGCCGCGATGGAGCTACATGCCTTGAGCGCTGCTACAAAGCTCCTCTCATTTGGTGACGATCCCATCCTGGAAAAGAGCTCAAGCGCGCTGGATCCGTCCCCATTCTCGGCGTAGCCCAGCACGATCGCGTTCCAAGACACCGCATCGGGGTATTCCAGCGCATCAAACACCCCGCGCGCCTCCGCCATGCTGTGGCACTTGGAATACATCGCGATCAGCGCGCTGGCAACTCGGGGGTGGGAATCGCAGCCTATGCCCGCCGCTTCATCGTGGATTTGCCTGCCGCGATCGAGGTCCCGTGAAACCCTTGACGCTCTCAAGGCGGCCAGAATCATCGACACTCTGCTGGAGCTCTCGCATTCTCCTTCCTGGACGAAAATTCTTCTTCTTCTTCTTCTTCTCATCGAATTGGAAGAGGCACCACTGCGAAATCCACGATTCCACATCCCGCAAATCACACGACATAGCTCCTATTTGCCCTAAAAGGAATCATTTTAAGCTTAAAGGAAGCAATTTATGCTATTTGCCCTAAAGGAAGCCTTTTAACTAAGTTTACCACGTCACTTTATTAAAAAGACACGTGTCGCGCCTATATAGGTCTGCCCCTCCACGTCCGCCATACTGCCACCATGTCCGTGCGTCACGCCCTCTACTTCCACGGTACACGCCTCCCCAATGGCCATACCGCCGGCGGCTTCCTCCTTCTCAATTACCGCGACGCCGAGGTCGCCCGCGGCGGCATTTACCTCGGGCCCGGTGCCCCCATCATCGAGGCCGAGTACCGCGCGCTCGTCGCCGGCCTCAACACCGCCTCCCACCTCCGCGTCTCCATCCTCCGCGTCTATGGCGACTCCCAGCTCGTTGTCAACCACGTCTCGGCGGAGTGGTACGCCCGGAGCCCTCTCACGCAGGCGCTGTGGCGCCGGGTCCGGGCGCTTAGCCGCGAGAGATTTAGCTCTTTCTCGATCGAGCGAGTGCCCAGCTATGGATATAATGGCGCCGCGGATGTGTCGCACGTAGCTGCGAGCTTGCGCTCGGATTTCTGCCGCACCGGTGGCACTCGCGTGTTTTGATTCGACTCTTGCTAGGAATGTAGCTGTCGATCGATCGAATCGATCGAGTTCTTCCGAGGAACACGATCACCATTTCGTTTGAAATATTTTTAGGACCTAGGGTACAATGCTAGTGAATCTTGTCCAATGCCATGGCGGCAGCGCCTTGGATCGCGCAGCACGCTCCCGCTCGGAATCGCCAGTTCTTGGTGGCGCCAGGACGGATTCCATCGGATTTGCCAGGAAATCTGTGAGCAGGGTCTATGTCTTGGACGTCCATCCGCTGTGCTACCGCGGGAGCAAGCCGGATTCCAGCGAGTTTTTGTGGTGGATGAGAGCGTTTCTTCGCAGGATTGTGCTTGACGATCCAGTGATTGCTGTAAGTCTCGTTTTGTTGTTGCTGGATTGGATGAAATGCGATTGTGTAGCGCAGGTTTTCGATGGCGAATTTGGGAATGACTATAGGAGAAAAATTCTTCCTTCTTACAAGGCTGGAAGGAGGAAATTCAAGCCTCTAGATCCGAGCTTCAAATGGACAAGAGGTTTAGAGGCGAGTTTCTCTCGTTTCCAATGCTTTCTTCGACAGTGTAACATACCTGTAAGTCCTCCATCTTTCATTCTTCCTTTTTCCATGGGCTAAAACGAAGTTCATTGCTGACAGGTTGTGAAAGTTGATAATGCTGAAGCGGACGACGTCATTGCGACACTAGCTCGGCAAGTTAACGACAGGAGTTTGAAAGCAGTCATTGCATCCCCGGATAAAGATTTCAAGCAGCTTGTTTCGGAAAACGTCGAGCTGCTGATTCCGTTCGCGGATCTACGAAGGTGGTCATTTTACACTGTCAAGGATTACGTTGAACAACACAAATGCGAGCCTGTGATTGAATTGGGACTTCGTAAGTATCCAGTTTCGTAAGTTTGGCTGATTATTCCAATTTTTTTTTCTTTCCAAGGATGCTTGCTAGGGGATGCTGCTGATGGTGTTCCCGGTGTGCCTGGTTTTGGACGGAAAACAGCTCTGAAACTTATGAGGAAGCACGGCTCGCTAGAAAATCTATTAAGTGCAGCGGCAATTCGGACGGTTGGGAAGCCATACATACAAGATGCTCTCAAGGAGCATTCCGTGTTGCTTGAGAAAAACTTGGAAGTTTTGTCCTTACGCAGGTAACTGGCTATTCTTTTCTAGCATCCAGGTGATTTTCTTATTTCCTTTTTCTTGCAGAGATATAAACGTAGAGCTACCAGTTGAGTGGTGCTTGTCCAGGGATAAATCAAACGATCTTGCTGCATTGCAGTGGCTGGAGAAAGAACTTGAAATGCTGCAACGTGTCTAAACACAGGTATCTGGCTATTCGTTTCGTGATTTTTTAATTTTTCTTGCAAAGATATTGACGTAGAGCTGGTGCTTGTCGAGGGATAAGTCAAGTGATCTTGCTGCATTGAAGGAACTTGAAACGTTGCAGGTTGTTTAGCAGCGGTGAACTGATCAGGCTCGAGGTATGAAAAATTTTAGCTCGCTTTATCGTTTCTTACTACGGCCTTCGTAGAATCCATAATCTGTCCTTGATGGAAACGAAGGTTGGTCCACTTCTGCAGAAACCTCAGGGTCTTTCAAATGAGGATGCTCTTGCAGTGTACAGAAGAATGCAACGTCAGGGATTGAAACCGGCCATTGGCATTGTTGTTGGTGCTCTCAAGGTATGTAGAAGCATGAGAGATCTACAACTAGGCAGGAGAATTCACAGGGATGTTTCCGAGACAGGTGACTTCTCAAACATTATCGTCGCCAACATCCTGCTCGATCTGTATGCGAAATGCGGAAGCATGATAGATGCTTGTGGAACATTTGACAGCATGCCGCATCGCGATGTTGTCTCCTGGAATTCGATCATACAGGGATATGCACAGAGTGGAAACGGTGACATCGCTCTACAGTTGTTTGCTCGTATGGAAGACGAAGGGTACAAACCGGATCGAGTATCAGTTCTTGGTGCTCTCAAGGCTTGTTCCAGCTTGATAGAGAAGGATTCGGGGCAGGCTTTGGATGGTCGACGGGAGGTATTCTTAGAGAGGAGCAGGGAGATTCACAGGAAAGCAGCAAAGCTTGGCTTAGACTCGGATCTCTTTGTCGCGAGCACCTTGATTGATCTTTACGCAAAATGTGGGAGCTTGACAGAGGCTCGTCGAGTTTTCGAAGGAATGAGCCATCGTAGTGTGGTGACATGGAACTGCATGATTCTGGGGTATGCCAGCAGCGGCGAGGGTGGTGAAGCTCTCGATATCTATGCTCGAATGCGTCGTGGAGACACTCCACCGGATGCTTTAACTTTCATCGCAGCACTGAAAGCTTGTTGCTGTCTCGCAGACGTGGAACTTGGGACAGTTGTTCATGGTGAAGAAGAAACGCAAGTCTTGAAGATTCAGAGCTTGGAAAAAGGAAGGGCCGTTCACTTGGAAGCTGGTGAGCACTCGTCAAACATCTTAGTGACCAACACACTCGTGGAGTTCTATGCCAAGTGTGGGAGCATGGTGGAGTCTCGCAGTTTCTTCGACAGTATTGAACGTCCAGACGTGGTTTCTTGGAACTGCCTCACTCTTGGTTATGCTCAGAACGGCAAAGGCGAGCAAGCTCTTGAGATATTCTTTAGCATGGATGAGAATGGTTGCGCTCCAGATCGTGTCACAGTTCTTGCTGCACTAAAGGCCTGCGTCACCTTGGCTGAGAAGGAACAGGGCCAGATTGTCGACGGAGGCGTCGTTAAGCTTCGGGCTTTGCAGAGAGGCAAGGCCGTGCATGCTCGAGCTCTCGCTTTTGTGGACGGAGAAGACCTCTCTGTTCATAATGCTCTCGTTGACATGTACGCCAAGTGTGGAAGCATGGTGGATGCTTGGCTGGTTTTCCAAGATATGGTGGTGCGAGATGTGATATCTTGGACGGGGATAATCCTGGGGCATGCTTGCAGCGGCCAGCACAAGCTTGTCTTACAATCGTTCGAAAGCATGCAAGAGGAAGGTGTTAAGGCAGATCATGTCACTGCTACTACTGCATTTAAGGCTGTTGCGACTCTAGCGGAGAATGAAGATCGCAAGCTTGTGAAGAAATGGCTGAAAAAAGGCAGAGCTCTCCACTTGCAAGTCGCAGGGATTTGCGAACTGGATGTCTACTTTGCTAGTGTCCTGGTGGATATGTATACGAATTGTCGAAGCATGGAGGATGCTCGGGGAGTCTTCGACAGCATCAAAGGCCAGGACCTTGTTCTTTGGAACTCCATGATCTTGGGATACAGTCAGTGTGGAGAACCCAAGCGAGCTCTGGAGTTTTACACTCGGTTGCTGCAAGAGAAAAGCTTGGAACCGGACGGGGTGACTTACGTTGCTGTTCTCAAAGCCTGCGCCAGCCTTGCAGCACTGGACTTCGGGCAGCAGATTCACGTCCAAGCTTGCAGCGCTGGACTGGATACAGAGCCATCGGTGGGAAGCTCTCTCGTTAGCTTCTACGGGAGGTGTGGAAGCATGGCCGAAGCCGAGGAGGCGTTTGAGGCAATCACGGACAAGACGGTGGTGGCATGGAGTGCTCTCATGGCGGGATACAGCAGCCAGGGCGACAGCCTGCGGGTCTTTGAGCTCTTCGAGGCCATGAAGCGTGAACGAGTGCGTCCAGACGGCGTCACCTTTGTCTCGGTGCTCACGGCATGCAGCCACGCCGGGCTGGTTGACAAGGGACGCGAGTTCTTCGAGGCCATGAGCAGCGAGTATGGAGTGGCTCCAAACGTCCAGCACTACACTTGCTTGGTGGATCTTCTGTGCCGGGCAAATCGGCTAGACGAAGCGCTCAAGACCGTGGAGGCGATGCCTTGCAAGGCGGACGCGGTGCTGTGGACGGCGCTGTTAAGTTCATGCCTCAAGTGGAGAGATGTGGAGCTTGGCAGGATGGCTTTCCAGTCGGTTCTCAAGCTCGACGACGGAACAGGCTCCGCGTACTCTCTCATGTCCAACATCTATGCGCGAGGTGAGTCGGATTTACAGCTCCAAGACAAAGCTCCATAGTCATGGGAAACAGTCATGGGAACGACTTAATGCTCGACTGACTGACGCTACTGTTGGAGAGAAACGACATGTTTTACTTCACTTCCATCTCAGGTTGCGTTGTTGTCTTCTTTCTTATCAGTAACTAACAAAGATTTCCCTTCTGGCAGGCTGAGCTTTCTCCGCTGTTAAGTCGGACACTTTCGGCTGCTGGCAATTCCTGAAACGTCGGGTCACGGTATTCGATAGGCGCTGGTATATCCCGCACAAAGGTGATCCTCTTCATTTTTTACGTTGTTGCTCCTTCACACAAGTCGTCCTCACCCTCCAGGAACAAAAACAAGGTGAGACCCCGTTTTGACCCGCATTTTAAAACCGTAACGATGGCAACATCTCCTTGAATGGATAGACACCAGCACAGCAGCAGCCATCCATGGTGAGCACTCTTCTTTTCTCCACGCATGTGTGGTGGCAGTTTTTTTGTAGAATTTGCGTGACTTGGCCCGTAGAAACTTTGTTTAATCCATGAATTTGCATCTTACACGGCAGGAAGAAGAGCGCTTGAACGTGGATGATGGTGTGCCTTGGATCAACGTAGCTAGTGGAAGCAAGCAAGTTAAAAAAATGGAAGAACGGGGTAAACATTGACAGCGAATGAATGAGACGATGAAAGCGTTTTGATCCTGCGATTTCTCCAGGTTTGCGGACATGGTAAAAAGCTCGCTCGCGGTGGTGTAGTAACTTTTGGGCGCCACAAGGACATCGATGTTGTTTGTGTTGGAAATGTGGTATGGTTTCTCTTTGCTTTTAGTTCTTAGGATTTTCCCCTTGAAATGGTTGTTTAACTTGCTATAGTTTTTTCGTTTCTTCAGATGGCCCGGGAGATGTCTTCCATCCGTCCACAGTGCGATTCATGCACCAGCAGTGGGCATCAACACACTCACACACCAAAAAAAAAGAGGGAAAAGAACACCGTAGATGCCTCGAAAAAGGAAGGCATTCACCAATTTGGAAGGAGCTCGCTCGAGCTTGATCAAGCTTCCAAGCGTGAAGAATCGTTTCCTTCCATCCATCAGACTTTATGGTCTCTCCGTGATCCGTGATCCGTGATCCGTGAAACACTTCCAGTCAAAAGTACAAATGCTTCTTTTGGGAGATTCTCCATGACACGATCGATGTGGGCTCCCGGCAGGAGCGCCGCCGCGCGGATCGATCCATGTGGGCAGTCGCCTCCGCGGCCCGGATTTAGTGGGTCGATCGCGGATTCGGGAATTCGCCACGAAAATCCAGGGTGGTCGTCTCCATCGTCGCGGTGAATGCCCAATGTGGGTGACGAGAGGAGCAAGATCAAAGAGGTAAGAAGAAGAATCGATCACACCATCTCTTCCCTGCGAGTAATTTGGCGTTGCTCGATCATCACATCCAACCAATCAAGCTGGAAGCTGGAATCGATCATCGCGTGCACTCCCAGGACGAGCTCGGGAGCCTAGAGAAGAGATCTTCGATGTGGCCACCCGACCTGAATTGGGAGAAGCGCTTGTCGCAGAAGCCGGACAACGTATCCCTGGCGGGCGAGGCGGGCATCGCCGATTCGAGCTACCTGTCGAGCTGAGTCGGGCAGCTCTCCGGGCTTGCCAGGCAGTGGGAATCCAGTCACAGCAATGCAGTCCGGCTGCTCAAGGAGGAGAAGGAGTCGCTCTCGTCACAGCGCAGCGAGGCGGAGAGCAAGCGGCGCCGGATTCTCGACGAGGACGCCTTCTATGCGGCGGCGTCGCGGGACAATCAATCGGTGCTGCGCGGCTCCGGGACGCTCGAGGAGCAAGTCAAGCGGCAAGTGAGTGGAGTTCCTCCGTGCCAAGCTTGGTAGCAGATCGTCCTCAGCAATCCAAGCCCCCCCGGCGAGCTCCCATTCACGAGCCCGCTCCACATCCCCGGAAGATCCACCAAGAACTCGGGCCGGCAGATCGCCAGCAAGAATTCCTCGCGCAGCGTGAAGCAATTCACTACCTGGAGTGACCAGCATTGGAGCTGGCTCGCCCATTCCTCCGCCTTGCGCTCCATCGCCAAGGATACCCTAATTGCCGATCCCCACAAACTGCTCGTAGACCAATCCAGGGCCACCACGTGCCACGGCCATGGCCAGCCGCAGTACGCCGCCCGCGGACACCGCCGGGAACGTGAAGTCATAGCTGGCGAGGTGGCTGAGGCACCGCACGGCGACGCGCTGCTCGACCCACGTCAGCACATGTACCGCGCGGTACCGCACGGCATGGACGGCGTACCGCTCAACGTTCATGGTGTAGTATGGGACGAACACGTTCTCGCCCTGTGAGAGCCACACTGGATCGCGGAGGCCTTTGTAGATGAGATGGATCATCGATTCGAGGACGCCCAGCTGCATGAACAGGGGATCGTCGGGATGCGCCATGGCGGTGTTCCAGAGGCCGCGGATGATGGCTTGGAGCTCGCGGCGATGGCGTCGGCCGAGGAGGAGGAGGGTGTGGGAGCTCTTTGAAGAGCTCGGAGAAGAAGGAGGCCTGGCGGGAAGAACTTGATAGCGCAGAGGAAGCAGTCGGTATAGGAGCAAGAGGAAGAGCGCGGCGATTTGGGCGATGGCCTGGTCATCTGGCCGATCGAATCCTCTCTTGGGTCGTTGAGAAATCGTGGAATTCGTGGCTCCGCAAGGAAGAATCGTTGTTCTAGAGGGGGAGCTTACGCGATGATCTTCACGGGAGAGAGGAAGAAGAAGAAGGGAACACTCTGTGTTTCGATCCTTTCGAGAATTCCAGTCGCTGGAGCATTCATTCGATCCAAATCGTCGCCGTCTTGGACAGCGATGAAAGCGGCCTGTGTTGCTCTCCAGTTCGCCCCCTAGCTGTTCTTGGTTCTTGGTTGCTTCTAATCTCTCTCGAGAAGAGAGAAAACAATTCCCAGGCTTTGGCATTTGCAGCTAAGCTAATTTTCGTGTGCAGTGCTGTGCAGTGCGGCAGTGCGCGCGCGGCAGCCATCTCTATCCAATGGCTGTACACTCCTTAGAGATACCGAGACTGTAAAAAAAAACTAAGTAGATGAAAGATTAAAAACCTTTACTAGGAATTTGCCAGGAGCTTTGGATTTGCTGCAAATGCCTTGTGTGGGCATTTGGGATCCTCGTCCAATGTGAGCTACTGACGGCTAGATTTGCAATCCCGCTTGGCAGTAACTGGCGCCAACACCGTTAGATGTGAATATTCCTTGCATGGCGCAATGGTTGGCGTGGGAAGAGCGCATTTGGCAGCTTTGCCGTGGGAGATTTGCGATCGTCCGCTGAGAAACCACCCCAGGGATGATGATGATACAAAGAATTTCTTATTCTTTTGCAGGAGTGGTACAATGATGCTCTGTAATGAGACAACAAGACAAGAGAAATATCTATAACTTGGAAGATCATGGTTCCTTCTAGGTATTTTTTCTCCACTACTTCGATTTGAGGCATTCTCTGTTGGTATTCTTGGCTCGACACATCCAAAACATAAACTTTATCAAAGTTCATTACTATAGTATGAAATTTTCTGTCACGATCACCATTAGTTTTGTTTTCCTTGTCACTTTGATTCACAGCAAGCCATGTTGTCCCAAATCTTTGTTAAGTTTTTGTTTACAAATCTCTAGCTATCAATCTCTTCTGGCTTAGATCGGTTTTGCACCAACATCGCAGAGTCAACTGGAGAGTTCTTGCTTGGTGTTCTTCCGTTTTCCATCTCCGTTTCACTCTTTAAAGCACGTATCCTCCTCCCCAATGATATTCTGTTTTAATGCTTTTGAATCCACCAATACGATGGCGAGAATAAGTGTAACTTTCAAATGTTTTGTTCCATCTCAGTGGAACCTTGGGTTCTTCGTTTTAACTTTGAAGTGTTGCATGCAGACACTCGCTCCGTAATTTTTTTCTGTCGATGAAAGACCAACAACTTCCAGAGAAACACTTTAAATAAACCGCAAATTTCCTGTTGTTCAAGGATCTTGTGCAAATATTCATTTTGAATGCCCACAGTATGGTGGTAAAAAATCCAATATAATACATATCTATGTATGCAAATTGAAGGAAAAAATAATTGCAATGCTTATAAATTTGAAAAAGTATATTATTTATCATTTATAATAAAATATATTATTTATATTATGAATAGAAATTGGAATAATGGTGATATGCCTACAAAGTGTAAGCATAGAAATATATCATGACTCGTAGTAAATTTTTCCTTCCATCTAAGGACAACACTGCTGACAAACATTGCCCCACACGCTTCCTGTCAAATAAGAGAACTTGAGTCAAGAAGAAATAACACGACAACACTCCTTCCCCTCCACCACCTCTTCAAAACTAGATACATGCAAGTGCGAGGGATCGATTGAAAGGAAAAATTAAAAAGAAAAGTTGATCGGTACCTGTTTGAGCCAGCATTCCTGGCGTTTGTGGCTCGTAAATATCAGGCGAGTGGCAGCCGTTCTCGGCAGCACAAAACACCCAAATTTTGCCATTCACCTCGCCCAGCTTAGTGGCTTTGGCCTGGTTGAAGCACGCTTGACAGCAATCGGCAGCGCTCTCTGTGTTATGAGTCAGTCCCCACCAGACAGCAACACCATCGTAATTTGTATGTGCCTCGGCTTCCAGGGATGATCACGTCCTCTACAAGAAAACCGAGGATTAAACCAGTACTGAACACTCCAAAGCCTGATACTCGGTATTAGCTGGGATTGCGTTTTCGGACGTCGGGTCGGCCGCTATCAACACACGATCAGATTTCCAGCACCATCTGTCCAATACTTCCACACCTGTGAGCAGTCCAAACGTAAGATGAGAGTGTAGGACGTTAAACAGGGGAGCTGAAATGAAGCTTTTATCTGCCCTAGGAGAGCCAATCACTCCCTGGAATGCAACTATGGTAAAATGCCTTTGCCTAGGACATAAGGCAATCAAGTTGATCAACTAAAAAGTATTTTCAAACTTCTCGCTTGTACTAGGCAATTTCTAGTCTCCAATATGTCAACAACACCAGGTGCATCCTCGCAAAATACCAACAAGCCCACACTCACTTCACGTCAAACTGGGCCGAAGACAAATGCAGGTCATGACCAGAGATGCCTGTTTCTACCCACTGTGCAAGACAGAAAGAAAGACCCTTTCACATCCCATATACGTGCAGCTACAGCTCTTCTTTCCCACAATGGAATTCTATTGTCACGACCTCCCACATTCATGTGGCCACAGCAAAAACAACTGCTCTCTACCTACATGCCATGGAAGACTGGAGGGCACTTATTGAAGCAACATCATGCCTTCACTTCCCAGACAGAAACATTTAGCAAGTGCCTGAAAGGCAACTTCTCTCTTTCCTCCCCTTTTTATCGAAAATCCCATGCTCTCACTAACACAATAAACACAATTCAGTGTGAAGGGTGTGCACTCCCTTGCTTCATAAATCTCGCATCAAGATTAGGACAATATAATTTCTTTTAGTGAATAGTTGTGTGCATTAAATTGCTATAGTAAGTGCTTAATTAAACTACATAAACTACTCATCTCCTCAGTAAATTTATCTTTACTCACTTCATATATACCATGTGGATATTGAAATCTATACACCAGCCCAATTCACTTCTAAAAGTAACAGTATGATTTCTTAATCAATTATTGCTGAGTGTTTCTTAAGCCAGTCCATCCCAAGATGTATGCTCTCTGAATAATCTACTATACCAAGAAAAGTTCTACTTTCTAAAAAACCTCCCAAGTTATAAAATAAATTCTCAACTCCATAACCATCTTTTAGTTGAACTTTTGCAGTTAACCTGTTCCCATAATACTTCTGATTGTGAACTGCTTTAATTCCAGTTTTTTTAAGAAGATCAAGTGATATGGCTGATATATCACTAATTCAATTCTGATTTGATGATCACTGATTCTCCCCTTATACTTGATTAAATTGTAATTACCCATGAGGCAATATATAATACCATTTACCTCAAACGTTAGACATTGCAATCTAATTCTAAGCAGTGTGTAATGTATTCAAGGTGAACCCAAAATTATGTTGTGATCAAAAATCACTGGTAAGACAGTCAGAGTTGTTTTAAATTCACAATGAACTTGAAATCTTGAACCTGTGAATTATTATCCACAGTAATATTAAATTCGTCGACTAATCATTGTGAAATAGCATCACAGTTAAAACCAGAATCCCAAAGAACATTGATTTTCTTCTCTAACCCTTGATCCCCATATAACCTTCCAAAAGCTTCTGCCGTCAAACCCTGTATCTACGAGCACAAACACCAGGAATGCTGGTACCAACTTTTCTTTTTTCTTTTTTCTTTTTTCCTTTCAATCGGTCACTCAAACTCTTGACAGGCTGATCAACCAAAGCTAAAGTTCAGGGGCCACTACCACGAAGAGTATAGGCAAACTCATAAAAACGCCTCAGTCGTAATTCTCTGGGTCTCTGGAGTTATTCGCAAATGAACTCCAGGTTCTTTTTTTTGCTTTTCTATACGACAGATTATGGTAATTCTTTGCTAGTCATTCCAATTGAAAGATCATGACTGTCAAACTGAGTTGCGACGAGACGCTTATAGCTGCTCACGGTGTTGTTCCCGTCTGCTTAACCAAAATGCTGTTCTTCTTTTCATATATTCCATCTCCAAAACAAAGAACGAGAGGAGCTTGGAGGAAGCAGGTGTGGCGAGAGGTTTAGGACAGTTCCTTGCAATCCTCGCCACGAGTTTTGGCCAATGCGATCGACGAGCTTCTGGGTAAACTTCGATTGAAATCGCTCGACTGTTTGGCAACGCCCGGACAAGATGGCAATGAAGAGTTGTTCTTGGCGCGATTATTCAAATTTTTGAAATTTGAAAGCGTTGTCGATTTCCAGCCCTTGCAGGTTCTCACTTTGACACGCTACGTCAGGGCTACGTACAGTTCCTCTCACAAGAGGTCGACCGGAAGCCGGTATCATACGGTTTGTACGCTCGAATGTGGGCACGCCACGTGTCAAATGTGAGGTGATCCAGAAGAAGCGGGCCGAGAAGACGGAGGTGAGAGAGGCTGCGCGCCAGGCGGCGCTCAAGGAGATCAAGGAGAGGATCAAGAAGACCAAGGACGAGAAGAAGGCGAAGAAGGCCGAGGTGCTCTCCAAGGCCACCAAGGTGAAAGCCCCCATCCAGCGGGGGCCTGTTTCCAAGGGGCCCAAGCTTGGCGGCGGCGGCGGCAAGCGCTGATCTATGGATCGAGTGAGAGATTGCGAGCCTGGGATTTGTTCTCGCCGTGGTTTTGCTTGCTTGTTTGTGTTGTGGTAGATGTAGGTGGGAAGTCGAGACGCGAGATTTTGCGAGATGAGGAGATGGGAATGGTGGTTCCGCTTCATCAGAGCGTGGTAAATCTTCTTTCTTCATGGAAGTTTTTGCTTTAAATATCCGGGTGACGAGGGTGTCAAAGCGAGCATCTCAAAAGTGATTCATCCAGGCCATCCAGCGCTAAGTGGATCCCAAAGCAGCAATCAATCGTTTCTCTTTTGTCGCCTCTATCTTCTCTTGCAACGTCAGCATTGCGAACAACAAGCATCTGGATCAGTTCTTCAGTCGTACAGCTAGAAGACATCAAAGGGAAACGATAAAAAGGCGCTCGGATGAGGTAATGCACTTAACTGGTCTGGGTGTCAGCACACAGTATCCCCGATGTCGGTGTGGCAGCCGGATAATTCTAGCTCGGTACTGACTGACAGAGTGATCGATTCATAACTTGATCGCTTGGGAGCGAGGAGAGCTTCTAGCTGAGAAGAAAAAAAAGATGTTGAGGCCAAAAATCTTCAAACCAATGTCATGCCTTCACTTCCCAGGGCAAGTGCAACTTCCCTCTTTCCTCCCCCGCTTGAAAGTTCCCTTCTCTCACCACAAAACACAATTATTTCTATCTATGCAAATAAGAATTCTAGTGTGAGGTGGTGCACTCATAATATAGATTTATTTTAGTGAATAATTTTGTGAATTAAATTGCTACAATAAGTGCTTAATTAAACTAAGCACCAACATAAACTACTCATCTCCTCTGTAAATTTATCTTTACTCACTTCATATATACCATGTGGATATTGAAATCTATACCACCAGCCCAATTCACTTCTAAAAGTAACAGTATGATTTCTATAATCAATTACTGCTGAGTGTTTCTTAAGCCAGTCCATCCCAAGATATATGCTCTCTGAATAATCTACTATACCAAGAAAAGTTCTACTTTCTGAAAAACCTCCCAAGTTATAAAATAAATTCTCAGCTCCATAACCATATTTTAGTTGAACTTTTGCAGTTAACCTTTTCCCAAAATACTTCTGATTCTGAACTGCTTTAATTCCAAGTTTCTTAAGAAGATCAAGTGATATAGCTGATATATCACAACCATTATCTAATTCAATTCTGATTTGATGATCATTGATTCTCCCCTTATACTCCACGTCATAAAAAGGAGGACATATATGCTGATTTATTCTTTTGTATTTTCTAGACTTGAATAAATTGTAATTACCCCTGAGGCAATATATAATACCATTTACCTCAAAAGTTAGATTATTTATATTGCCACTGCAATCCAATTTTAAGCAATGTTGATGCATCCAAGGTGAACCTAAAATTATGTCGTGATCAAGAATCACTGGTAGGACAGTCAGAGTTGTTTTCAATTCACAATCTTCCACCATGAACTTGAAATCTTTAACCCGTGAATTAATATCCACAGTAATATTAAATTCGTTGACTAGTCTTTCTGAAATAAAATCACACTCACTACCAGAATCCCAAAGAACATTGATTTTCTTCTCCAACCCTTGATCCCCATATAACCTTCCAAAAGCTTCTGCCATCAAACCCTAAATTTACAAAATCCTGGAGGGGGAATTTATACCTTTTTTTGGTAGATCCCTTTGACCAAAAGGATCACAACCATACCTTTTGAGGACGAGGTATATCGTGTCATAAAAAATAACGCGAGATCGTCTTAGCGGCCACGGGCAGCAGCGGATACTTGGCATCCTTGCCGTTTTTCAAGAGAACCAGACGATCGCATTGGCTCCGTCCTGTGGGTGGGTCTTTGCGTACGACCACGACAATCACAAAGTCACCTTTCACCGACGAGGAGCCATTGATTCCCGAGATTGCTGCCAGCAACGAGGGCCTTCGAGGCTGTTTTGCTCAGTGATCTCTGTGAGCCTAGCAGGAAAGCTTACGTATAAAAATCCGAAAGTTTGAGCTTCGAGGGCCGCTTACGCCGATCAAACCCGCAGAGAACATCACAAAGCGAAGTCTCCGCACCGTGTCATCAATCCTGTCCATGGAGATGAAACCTTCCTTCACCAGAGACGTCAGAGTGCCGATGAACTTGGTGTACTCGTATGGGGCACCATGATGAAGCAAGAAGTCATTATCTTCTGGAGAAACGAGTAGAAAAAAGAGAGCTCCGGTTGGTAAACTGGGAGAGAAGAAGCACGCATTTCTCACCATGTCAATTCCACTGAGACGAGAACTGTGTAAGTATGTGCCGGGTTTTGTGATCCTGTCAATGCCTTGCCAATCAGGGATCACGAATTCCTGTTGGCACAGTTCATAGTGCTTGGAGCAAGCCGCAGCTAGGAAAACCAAAAGAAAAAGTTGTAAGAACTCTTGGTCATTCTCCGACGCATAGAACTCTTTGGCAGGGGCCTCACCTTGAAGCCCCGAGATAATCGTCGTCATAGCCTTGACGAGCTGCGGCTTCTCGCTGTAGCATCTCCTGAAGCATCGGCCCCATCTTGGATCCTGGCAAACCTGGAAAACAAAGACTTGGGATCAGAAAAGAAAAAAAGCAAATCGCTTGGCTAGAAAACAAACACTAAGTTCGTCTCGATAAACAAGGAAAATCCGTAAGAGAAGAGATATCGAGTAGGCTTGCTCTTGCTTACCCGGCCGATACAAGGCTTGATAGACATTGTGAACAGCGTCGATGCCATGGCTACGTCGAGTGTGGTGACGCAAAACTGCTCTCCAGATTGTTGGCGACAGTCAAAGCTTGCAGCATTCTCGCGAAAACGCTGTGGAAGCTCCGGCTCGCTAGAGTCTCTGCGCCAGGAATTGCTTGGTGGATGAGCAGCTCTCCTCAGCGCCGCGAGATCCCACAACCCTAATCCCAATACCCTCCATCGCCCCTTTTACGCTGCCGAGCTCCCGCCACGTGGCGCGCGGGAAGAATTTCGTTTTAAAGTGCCTTCGTTCACTTTAGGGGTTTATTGTGTTTGTGAGAGCCCGAGCAAGCGAGCGAGCGAGCGAGCGATCGATCGAGCGATATATGGCGAATCCAAGTGACAAGAAGGGGAAGAGGAGGACGCCCGCGAAGAATCCACGCGAAATTTCGGTTGTGCAAGAGCGACGCAATGCATTGCTCCAGATGGAGTGGGAGGCGGCTGCAGCAGGTTGATCCTCTTCTGGTTCTTGCTTGATCATCCACATTTCTTGTGCAATCCAGCACGCAAGCACGGAGAACCAGACCAGGGCCAAGACGATTTCCAGAACAAGCGAGATCGGGTCGCGGCCGAGCACCAGCAGGCCGACAGCAAGCTGGCCGGAGACAATGGTGAGCGTGACGAGCCCCAGGGAGGCCGCAATGAATCGCACGACCGATGTGGCCTGGTCGATGCGCTGCTCGTGATTGTCCTCGTCGCGCTCGTCGCGCTTGTCGTGCTCGTCGTTGTCTCTCAATTCATCCTCGATTGAGAGACATCAATGTGATTCTCTGCAATCCCCGATTCATCATCACACAGCTCCGATTTCTTTCGGTTTCCAGAAAATATTTCCCGCTTTGAGAAGAGGGTCTAGGGTTTAATTTAGGGTTCCTTGAGGTCTCGTGAGAAATGCACACAATGCGGTGCCATTCCCCAGCTCTGATAGTTCTTTACAAGCCACGGTCCAGGTACTATTGTCTATGCTTTATAATGAATGATCTATCGTGTTTTCTTTTAAGGGTGGAAGTAAAGTCGAGAGGAGGCTAGTCTCCATGATGAGTTTGGCTCTTCATTTTCGAATACAAAGAGCCTCCAAGACTGGTATTCACTATTCGCTTTTGCTATGAACCCTGCAGTGATCTCGCTAACAATGTAGGTTCATCGTCTCGGTGCTTCACGGTGCGTTCACCTTTGTCTCGCTGCTCACGGCATGCAGCCACGCCGGGCTGGTTGACAAGGGACGCGAGTTCTTCGAGGCCATGAGCAGCGAGTATGGAGTGGCTCCAAACGTCCAGCACTACACTTGCTTGGTGGATCTTCTGTGCCGGGCAAATCGGCTAGACGAAGCGCTCAAGACCGTGGAGGCGATGCCTTGCAAGGCGGACGCGGTGCTGTGGACGGCGCTGTTAAGTTCATGCCTCAAGTGGAGAGATGTGGAGCTTGGCAGGATGGCTTTCCAGTCGGTTCTCAAGCTCGACGATGGAACAGGCTCCGCGTACTCTCTCATGTCCAACATCTATGCGCGAGGTGAGTCGGATTTACAGCTCCAAGACAAAGCTCCATAGTCATGGGAAACAGTCATGGGAACGATTTAATGCTCGACTGACTGACGCTACTGTTGGAGAGAAACGACATGTCTTACTTCACTTCCATCTCAGGTTGCGTTGTTGTCTTTCTTTCTTATCAGTAACTAACGAAGATTTCCCTTCTGGCAGGCTGAGCTTTCTCCGCTGTTAAGTCGGACACTTTCGGCTGCTGGCAATTCCTGAAACGTCGGGTCACGGTATTCGATAGGCGCTGGTATATCCCACACAAAGGTGATCCTCTTCATTTTTTACGTTGTTGCTCCTTCACACAAGTCGTCCTCACCCTCCAGGAACAAAAACAAGGTGAGACCCCGTTTTGACCCGCATTTTAAAACCGTAACGATGGCAACATCTCCTTGAATGGATAGACACCAGCACAGCAGCAGCCATCCATGGTGAGCACTCTTCTTTTCTCTTTCACTTTTCGCGTTTTTTTCTCTTCTTATGCTGCTGGCCCGTGCATGCTTGCTCGACTACCTTGCACTTACGCTAGGCTTTTTTGCTTTTGTAGAGGCGGGGAGCTTGCGGTGCCTCCCAACTACCAGCGTTTCGAGGTTAGTTTTTGTGTCGAGAACGTGGGCTCGTAAGCTCTTGCGTTTGTTTAGTTCTCGCAGCCAGCGTAGTTTTTACAGTCTTCCTGGATGCTCCAGGACAAAACTAAGCTTTTCTGGGTCCATGCAGAGCAGCGTTTCTGTCTCGTTATAGTCTTTTTATTCTCCTCCTCGTGATTACATCCATCATTGTTTTTGAGCTCCACTTGCCACCCGCTTATGAGTTCCACTAAGATCACCATCTAAACTTCCTTTGTTTTCCTTCTTTTAACAGGCAGGCATGGGAACTCCTGGCAACGAACAGAACACAAGCGAAGAACAAGGCTAAAACAAGGAGAGGTATGTAATCCTATGCCTAATCCTACAGCAAAGCATGGAAGTTTCTGGTCCCATTGGCACCCCATGTTCATCATTTTCTCGCTCAACATGCCTTTGTCAATGAGCGTGACCCTCCAACCAGCACTAGCCTTGTTTAATCGTAAACAAGCTGCTCCAGCCAGCAAAAGTGCCAAGAGCGAAGAGCCTTAAGTTGTGACCATGGATTTGTCACTCGTGTTGGTAGAGCCAGGAACGCTCGTGAGCAAAGTGTTTTTTTCTTCTGTCTTGCTTGGCTTGCATACTTTTTGTGTGTCGAATGAGCTTCCCTTATCCTTGTGAGTGTTTTCTCGAAGTGGCTGTCAAAAAGCTTTGAAGAGCCGATCCGATCTCTCCAAGCATGTGTTGTGGTGGCTTTTTGTAGAATTTGCGTGACTTGGCTCGTAGAAACTTTGTTTAATCCATGAATTTGCATCTTACACGGCAGGAAGGAGAGCGCTTGAACGTGGATGATGGTGTGCCTTGGATCAACGTAGCTAGTGGAAGCAAGCAAGTTAAAAAAAATGGAAGAACGAGGTAAACATTGACAGCGAATGAATGAGACGATGAAAGCGTTTTGGTCCTGCGATTTCTCCAGGTTTGCGGACATGGTGAAAAGGTCGCTCGCGGTGGTGTAGTAACTTTTGGGCGCAACAAGGACATCGATGTTGTTTGTGTTGGAAATGTGGTATGGTTTCTCTTTGCTTTTAGTTCTTAGGACTTTCCCCTTGAAATGGTTGTTTAACTTGGTATAGTTTTTTCGTTTCTTCAGAGGGCCCGGGAGATGTCTTCCATCCGTCCACAGTGCGATTCATGCACCAGCAGTGGGCATCAACACACTCACACACCAAAAAAAAAAGAGGGAAAAGAACACCGTAGATGCCTCGAAAAAGGAAGGCATTCACCAATTTGGAAGGAACTCGCTCCAGCTTGATCAAGCTTCCAAGCGTGAAGAATCGTTTCCTTCCATCCATCAGACTTTATAGTCTCTCCGTGATCCGTGATCCTAGGAACACTTCCTCTGAAAAGTAAAAATGCTTCTTTTGGGAGATTCTCCATGACACGATCGATGTGGGCTCCCGGCAGGAGCGCCGCCGCGCGGATCGATCCATGTGGGCAGTCGCCTCCGCGGCCCGGATTTAGTGGGTCGATCGCGGATTCGGGAATTCGCCACGAAAATCCAGGGTGGTCGTCTCCATCGTCGCGGTGAATGCCCAATGTGGGTGACGAGAGGAGCAAGATCAAAGAGGTAAGAAGAAGAATCACCATCTCTTCCCTGCGAGGAATTTGGCTCTGCGCGATCATCACAATCAAGCTGGAAGCTGGAATCGATCATCGCGTGCACTCCCAGGACGAGCTCGGGAGCCTAGAGAAGAGATCTTCGATGTGGCCACCCGACCTGAATTGGGAGAAGCGCTTGTCGCAGAAGCCGGACAACGTATCCCTGGCGGGCGAGGCGGGCATCGCCGATTCGAGCTACCTATCGAGCTTGGTTGGCTCCACGAATGTGGGAGTCGGGCAGCTCTCCGGGCTTGCCAGGCAGTGGGAATCCAGTCACAGCAATGCAGTCCAGCTGCTCAAGGAGGAGATGGAGTCGCTCTCGTCACAGCGCAGCGAGGCGGAGAGCAAGCGGCGCCGGATTCTCGACGAGGAATCCTTCTACGCGGCGGCGTCGCGGGACAATCGATCGGTGCTGCGCGGCTCCGGGACGCTCGAGGAGCAAGTCAAGCGGCAAGTGAGTGGAGTTCCTCCGCTGGTTGGAGTCCTTCCTCCTCCATCGCTGGATGATAGCAAAGTTGGCACTGTAGAGAAAGAGTGGAGAGCTCCTCCTCCTCCTCCTCCAGGAACTTTGGAGGGCGATGGCGGCGGCAATGCTGCTGCTTGCTCTTGCGAGAGGAGAGGGAGCTTTGGATTGGAAGAGGGAGGAGAAGGCTATGGCGACCAGGTGGAGCATTGGAAGTCCAAGGCTTGGAAGTTTAACCAGCTCCTGGGCGAGAGCTTGCAGCGGGAGGAGATTCTCATCAAGAAACTCGAGGAGAAATCCAAGCGCCTGGAAGCAGTGAAGCCGATGGTGACCGAGCTGCAAAACCAGCTCGAGCGAGTGGACAACTTCCTCCACTTTGTGCTCCGGAATGCTCCCATTTTCTTGAGCCACCAGGTAAAGATTTCTTGCTCGCTTGCTTCTCCTCGCTGCGATCTAAACTCTCATTGCCAGGACAAGGATCTCAAATATAGATTTATGTACAATAATCATCCGGCCTGGCAATCGGTACGTAGCGATCTTCCTCAAAGTTTTCCATTTGTTTTAGAACTGCTAGCTAGCGTGGGCTTTCTAGAGCTCTATAGTTCTAGAATTCGCGAGTTCTATAGTTCTCTAAAGTTCTAGCTCTAGAGCTTGTGTTCTACAGGATTTACGAGTTTTGCTTTCCAGGAGGTGATTGGAAAGACGGACCTGGAGCTTCTCCCGGGTCCGGGAGGAACCATGACACACAACTTCAAGAAGGAAGTTCTTCGCCGGGGGTGCCCGGCAAAGCGAGAGTTCGTCTACGACACGGTGGAGTTTGGATACAAGGTGTTTCTCATCTGTGCCGAGCCGGTGTTCAGCAAAGGTGGCGAGACGATTGGTGTCAACATCGTCTCCATGGACGTCACTGAAGAGGTACTTTCGAGACCGTGAAATCTTCGTTTTCTAGCTTTGACAAGGAAAAAAGAAATTTCTCAAGGCTGCAAACCGGGAGAAGCTCATACGCTTGAGGGAGGAAGAAGCCGTGCAAAAGGCGATGGAAACGCAGCTTCACAAGACAATGCGCATCACAGGCAAGTTTTTGGTGCTATATCTTTGAGTGCTGTTCTTATACTTTGGTTTTTTTCCAGAGGAAACGATGAAGGCAAAGCAGCTGCTGGCTACAATGTCGCATGAGATACGCTCGCCGCTGAGTGGAGTGGTGAGCATGGCCGAGATTTTGGCCGCCACCAATCTGGATCCCGAGCAGCAAAATCTCGTCGATATCATGGTTTCATCCGGAGACCTGGTGATGCAACTTATAAATGACATTCTCGATCTCTCCAAGGTGGAATCAGGTGAAACCAGCTTGAGCTTTTGATGGTGTTTTAATCGTGGCTTCTCTTTTCTGCTACTCAGGAGCTATGAAGCTCGAGGCTACAAAGTTTCGTCCTCGAGAGGTCCTCAAGAACGTCCTCCAGATCGCCGCAGCGTCGATGCAAAAGGGAGACTTGAATTTGGAAGGCTTTGTCTCGGCCGAAGTTCCGTTTGAGGTGACAAAGCTTTTCACGGTTGAGAGTAACTTGGTTTCTCGCTTATCCTTATAGGTGATTGCCGATGTGTTGAGAGTCCGCCAGATCTTGACAAACTTGGTGAGGTAAAAACTCGATTTTTTCTGTCCTGCAAAGCTTTTCTCGAGCTTTATACCTTCTTCTTCTTCCAGCAATGCCATCAAGTTTACTCGTCATGGAAGTGTCCGGGTGGAGATAGAAATCGGCAACAAAAAACTTCCTCACAAGCAAAATGGAAGCATTGTCGATTCAAACGAATTACAAACTCCTTGCTCTTCTTCTATCACTTCTCCCGCGACTACCACTTCCACTGTTCCACAGTGGGTAAACAACGACACTGTGTGGCTCGAGTGTCGAATTGTGGACACGGGCATTGGTATTCCAGGTCTGCCAAACAAATGTTTCTACACAGTTTAACCTTTTCTTTGATTTCGTTGTCGCAGACACGGCTCTCCCGTTTCTATTCACGAAATATATGCAAGTGAGTGAAACACACGCAAGGAAGTATGGTGGCACTGGTCTCGGCCTCGCGATTTGCAAGCAACTGGTACGTGATTCATGCTAAGGAACCTTCGACGATAACTATGATTCTTCGTTTCTTCAAGGTGGAACTCATGGGTGGAAAGCTCAAAGTTAACAGTGAAGAGAACAAAGGCTCCACGTTTATGTTTACGCTGCCCTGCAAGCTTTGCGGATCAAACGGTACCAATCAAGCTAGCAGCCACTTTAGTTTTAGCACGGCAGCGATGGCGGCGAGAAGAAAATCATCGGGAACACGGGGCTCGAGCGTGAACAAGAGAATTAGCGGCAACAATGGCGAGAGTGTCTCGTCCAGGAAGAGCTCGAGCTCTCCTCCTCATCGAAACGGTGAAGCTAGCGGTAAAACCACGACAAAGATCGATGTTCCTACCGCTGTTGCTGCTACCACTACCACCACCGCCACCGCCACTGGCGGCAATGCGGCTAAGTTGAAAGTTTTGCTCGCCGAGGACAACAAAGTGAACATCATGGTTGCGCAGTCGATGTTACGAAGAATGGGGCTCGAAGCAACAGTTGTGAACGATGGAGCCGAGGCTGTGGAAGCGATCAAGAGAGATTACTTCGATTTGATTCTAATGGTATTGCCAGCTTTCTTTCCTTGACCGTTCTTGGCGATAAGTTCTTTTTATCAGGACGTCATCATGCCCGTGATGGATGGATTGGAGGCAACTCGTTTGATCCGCGATACGCAGGGAAATCGGGATGGTCAAGGCAAGAGGAGCACGATCATAGCTGTAAGTGATCACATCTGTTCTTCATTCTCAATTGTTAGAGACAAGCTCTTCTCTGATCAATCGATCGCTGCCTTCTCTGTTTTGGCTGGAATAGATGACCGCGAATGCGCTTCCAGAGAACGTCGCGGAATGCTACACTCACGGCATGGACTCATTCATCGCCAAGCCAGTGACTTTCAGCAAATTGCAGCAAGCAATACAGCAATTCTTTCCCCCCTCTCTGCCATCTCCATCGCCCTCCTCCTCCTCATCCTCTCCATCGCCCAAGCCACGGTGAGAGACCGGAAAGAAGCTCTCCTCAAACTTGTACCATAGAAACAGCGCCAATTTGCCAATTTTGAAAGGCGGCATATTCTCAGATCCACCCCAGCTGGAGGTCGCGGGTTCGATGCTTGCATGGGACGCGGTTCGCACGATCCAAAGAAATCTCCAGTTGAATTTCCAGGAAGAAGTTTTTTTTCCCACCGTCCACTTACCATTTGCGTCGGGCCAATCCGGCGCGACACGTCACCACGTCACGCCAGCTTATATACCATCGCCTCCATTTTTTTGCCCTTCCCACGGTTTAAAGAGAGAGAGAGAGAGAGGAGGCATATTTTCCAAGAAGACGAAGAGCTCGCGACTTCGATCGATCGGACGAGCAATCGATCGATCCAGCGAGCGCGGCGCGGCGCGGCGCGGCGCGATCGATCGCCAATGTCCCCGTCAGGTCTGTCGCCGTGCGCTGCTTGCAAGCTCCTCCGCCGGCGATGCGCGCAGGATTGCATCTTTGCGCCATACTTCCCCCCCGACGAGCCCCAGAAATTCGCCTTCGTCCACAAGGTCTTCGGCGCCAGCAATGTGAGCAAGATGCTCCAGGTGATCGATCGATCGCAAGTTCTTCCATTTCCAATCGTTCTTTAGGGCTCAAAGATTTCTTTCTTCCTTCTTGTTTCTCTTCCAGGACCTTCCTCTCCACCAGCGCGGCGACGCCGTGGGTAGCATGGTCTACGAGGCAAATGCCAGGGTCAGGGATCCGGTCTATGGCTGCGTTGGCGCGATCTCGGCACTACACCAGCAGATAGCGCAGCTCCAGACGCAGCTCGCAATCTCCCAGGCCGAGAACGTTTGCCTTCGAATGCAGCACAGCGCGATGGTCACCAACATCGTCGGGCAGAACCACAGCGTCTCCTCCGCCACCACCGCCGCCACCACAATCACCAGCGAGAGCATCAAAATCTCCCCAGCGTCGTCGCCGCCGGCGGCGCCAAGCTCGCCCGACCGCGAAAGCCACCACTTTCGGGGGATCGAGGCGCTCGAAGCGACTGGCCCCCTCTGGACGACGTGCTAGAGTAGAGAGTTTTCCCCAAGAACCCTAAAACCTGGGGCCTTGTACGGTCGTTATTGCCGGACAATATTTTGGCGGCTAAACTTTAAAATTTTTGTACGGTATATATGCTATGTAAAGCCCTAGCCCTAGTGATTGTGTATGGGGAAGAGGAATGTGGGCTCGGTAGGGCATCTCGTGCGCTATGGGGCGCTCGCGGCGTGCGCGCTGCTCGCGATCGTGGCGGTGTTTAGGAATTTCTACTGGATTTCGTCCTACGCAACGGCGCCGCGGTCGATGCCTTCCTCGATTCCACTCGGCTATGATCCGCTCAAGCTGCAGGAGGTGAGTGAGTGTGATCTCTGTCCGAGCGAGAAGATATTGCGATTTCCTCGCATTTGTCAGTGTTTTATTTAAATCTGTCTAGCTGATTCTTCCGCGTTTCTAAGATGCACAGATAGAGGCGATGGATTTGCTAGAACCAGGCGTTCCAGAGATCCAGTGGGAAGAAATCGCAGAGTGTCCTGTTAAGAGGCTCGATGGGGCTGCCGTACAAATCCGGAACCTCTTGTACGTTTTCGCTGGATATGCTACCATTGACGAGGTTAGTGATTAGATTTCCTTCTCCAGATCTTTCACATTTTGCTTTTCCATTCTATAGATACATTCTCATGTCAATGTTCTCGACTTGATGACAAACACTTGGATCGACACTTTCGATATGCCAAAGGAAATGGCTCACTCACACCTGGGAATGGTCACGGATGGACGCTTCGTTTACGTTGTTACTGGGCAGTATGGCCCCCAGTGTCGAGGACCGACAAATCTCAACTTCGTGCTGGATACCGAGACAAAGTCGTGGGATCGTCTTCCTCCACTTCCGGTGCCCAGGTAAATCTTACAAAGTTCTTTCTTTTCTTTTCGAGAATGGCTCGCTGTATGAAAACACACGCTGATAGATATGCGCCTGCAACACAGCTCTGGAGAGGAAGGCTTCATGTCATGGGTGGCAGTAAGGAGGATCGCTGGGAGCCCGCGCTTGAGCACTGGAGCCTCGCTGTGAAAGACGGAAAGGCGGTAGAAACAAAGTGGCGAGCCGAGATTCCAATACCTCGAGGTGGTCCTCACAGGTAAAAACGTTTCCTTGTCAGGTTCTTGAGTTGGAAACAGTCAAGTTCAAGACTAGAGCTCAAGAACTTGACGTCGTTCCAGTTTCCAATTTATTTCTTTCTCCTTTGTGCAGGGCCTGCATTGTTTTCGGTGATCGTCTCTTCGTCATTGGTGGTCAGGAAGGAGATTACAAGCCCAAGCCCGGGTCTCCTATTTTCAAATGCTCTCGGCAGCGTGAGGTAAGTTCACACCATTCTCGCTCTCTCCAGCTCTAAATCTTTCAAGCCAGGTGGTCTACAGCGACGTCTACATGCTAGAGAACGCCGCAAAGTCATGGAAAGCCATGCCGCCAATGCCAAAGCCCGACTCTCACATCGAGTTCGCGTGGGTGATTGTCAACGATTCCATTGTCATCGTTGGCGGCACCACGGAGAAGAATCCAGTCACGAAAAAGATGGTTCTTGTGGGGGACGTGCTCCAATTCAGCCTCACGAAAATGGTGAGTAGCAGTACGAGATTCTCTCGGCCGTTGCGAGCTGATGTTTGGCGTGAACAGAGATGGAAGATCATCGGACGCATGCCGTACAGGGTGAAGACAACGCTGGCGGCTTTCTGGGATGGATGGCTTTATTTTACATCGGGGCAGCGAGACAAAGGCGTCGACGATCCTGCACCGAAGAAGATTGTAGGCAAGACATGGAGAACAAAGTTGAGGCTCGTCTTATGAGAACAGAGGGGAGAAAAAGCGAGCTCGAATTATTCCTGCTCACATCAAAAGCGTCACAGACAAAAGAAAAATTCTTTTTCCAAGGTTCGTTCCAGGAGATTATACCCCTGACTGACTGACTCGACTGACGTTTTTACTCACTTGCTCATGGCTTGAGCGAAAGAGCTAGACCAACTTTGGTGTCCTTGTTCAGGGACTTCGTGTCGACTTCGCCAGAGATCGTCAAGAGCGACTTCGGCCGGAACTCGTGCTGGATCAGAGCCGCGAGCTTCCCCTGATTATTCAGGCGAGCCTTGACGGTGGTGAGGAGATCCAGATTATACGCGCCACCGATGGTAAACGTATTCAACTTCTTTGAAATCGAATGCACCACCTCCGCGCCGACAGTGGCCTTCGTCAGTGGACTGACCGTGTGTGAATAGCTGACTTTCACAGTATCTCCTTTGTCACACCTAGCAAAAGGAAGAAAGCTTAGACTTGGCAAGGACTTCGTCCCAGACTTACAAGAGGAGAGCAGCGGTGAAGTCCGGCTTGGTGATGCCAAGCCCAGCTTCGTACTTCTTCACGGTTCCAGCGGCAGTGTCGAGGGAGACAGCGCCTCCCAGCGAGTACTCCTTGTTGCCAAAGGCCGCCGTGACGTCCACTGGAGGCGAGGCAGTCAGTCCCACAGCGCTGGTGATGCCAACATTGTCGTGGACGTAGTGAACTTCCACCTGTAGCGATGTTACTTCGCAAGAACAATCGAAATCCAAAAGCTTTCTAGCGAACCTTTCCAGTCGAAACGTTGGGGAGATTCACGCCGATGATCGCCTTCACTCCTTGGCTGACTTCATTGCCAGTGACTGTGGCATACACCTGTGTGATCGGAGCTGCTACGTTACAAGGAAAGGAAAATGTGATGGCTACGTACGTTTGAGTTTGTGTCGACTTTCACGTCAGTGGTGATGTTGTAATGCTTAAACTGGCCACAGAGCTCCCCTCCCAGAGACTCGCCTTTCCTTGTTCCAGTCGAGGTGAACGTCTACAGAGAAAGAAAAAACTTAGAGCTAAGATCACATAGCACAAAGAAAAAAAATGAACAAAACAGATGAAACTTACCAAGCCAGACGAGGTTGTGGTCGTGACAGTGAATTTGTGGTCGTAGAAATAGTCCTTGTTAAGGAGGTCTGCTCATCCCACAATTTTAAAAAGAACTAGGAAGAACAAAGCATACAAAAAAAAACCTCTCCCTACCTCTGGTACTCCTGCCAATGTCGGAGAACATTCCCGGTCCCTTGCCCATTCCTCTTGATGATCTCTACCTGCGCGCGGCAAATGCCAAACCAGCGAGCTGCGAATCAGAGAAACCCTACCAAAACCCCTCCGCGAGACGAGAAAAGCCTCTCGCGAAATCTCGGCAATCTTGATCCCGCTGGAGGAGGAGCGAGTGGGAGCGGGGCGAGAGCACACCTGATTGATTAAAGAATGCGAGCGAGCCGCGCGCCGCCGACGATGATCCGTGAAATTCCCTTCCTGCCCTAGACAGATTTTATAAAGCGAGGTTTCTTTACCGTGGTGACTAGTTTAGGTATATTCTACAGCATATTCGAATATTCGCAATCTTTCAGTGATCAAATCCCCGCCGTCAAATCGTGTTGCATTTTCCGTCACGGAAGATTCTGTTGGGAACCTTTGCCCTATTTTCCCCTACCACGAATTCCGGGCGAGGGATCGGGCGAGAGAGCCGGCGGAGCGCAGCGCGCCTGCTTCTCAGCTGGATTTTCGCTGCTCATTTCACGCGGCGCCTCCATTTCCTTGGTCCAGGTTCGGATTGGCGAGGATCGAGCGTCAGATTGCTGGATCGCCTCGCAGATCGGTGAATGCATTGCCTCGCGGCTGGGAATTCCGCCCCCGGCCTCGATTGAGCTGGTGCTGCCGAAGGGAGAGAGTATTGCCCGCAGATCTGCGGGCGCGATTATGATGGAAGATGGCCAAGATGCGGAGAATGGCATGGGTTCCTACCAGGAGAAGCCCAGGACGTTTCCAGCGCTCCGAACCAAGTCAACAGCACCCTTTGTAAGTTCCTAGCTCACTTTGTTTGCTCACCAAAAAATATTTTCCACGACTTTTTGGTGATCCAGTTCTTGAGGTTCATATACAACATGGATAAGCGAGTATACTATCTCCTCACGGCATTTAGTTTGGTGGCGATGTTCTATGTCGGAGTTCGGACCTCCTCGATCATCGTCTTCGTCTTCGCGGTGTGCACGCTAAGCATTTTCTTTGCGACTTACCTCTCGTCATGGGTGCTTGCAAAGGACGAAGGACCGCCTGAGATGGTCCAGGTAACGATTTTCTCTTTTTTTCTTCTTCTTTTGGTCAGGAACTGAGCTGCTTCGTGTTTGCAGATATCAGACGCAATTCGGGACGGTGCAGAAGGCTTCTTTCGCACCCAGTATGGTGCAATTACCAACATGGCCGTGGTTCTCGCCTTTGGGATCCTTGGTATTTATTTGTTCAGGAGATCCACGCCACAGCAAGAGGCAGCTGGGATTGACAAGTGAGTGTTTGTTTCTTCTCAGAGGATTTCTTTTTCTCTTTTTTGTTCTGGTGATAAACTGATAGTGGTTACAACAGAGCAACATCAGCATTTATTACCGTGTTGTCGTTTTTGCTTGGAGCTCTATGTTCTGGCATCGCTGGCTACGTTGGAATGTGGGTTTCAGTTAGAGCTAATGTGCGAGTATCAAGCGCTGCTAGAAGATCTGCCAGAGAGGCGTTGCTGGTAAACATCAAACTTTTGTTTCTTCGGTCTATTCTAAAATCTTTCTTGCAGATAGCTGTGAGAGCGGGAGGATTTTCAGCGCTCATCGTTGTTGGTATGACGGTTTTGGGCGTAGCTGTCCTCTATGCTGTGTTTTACGTCTACTTGAATGTGGACTCTCCGACTGGCATGAAAGCTACAGAATGTAAGTCCCTTCGTGAATCTTGATGATTTTAAAGTTTGCTTTTCATTGTGTAGTGCCACTTTTGCTCGTCGGGTACGGATTTGGAGCATCTTTTGTGGCACTTTTTGCTCAACTTGGTGGTGGTATATACACGAAGGCAGCTGACGTTGGTGCTGATCTTGTCGGTAAAGTTGAGCAAGGCATTCCGGAGGATGACCCCAGAAATCCTGCAGTAATTGCGGACCTGGTAAATTTTGTAGTTTACGTTTAGTTGATGGACTTAATGGTCTTACAGGTTGGAGATAATGTTGGTGATTGTGCTGCTCGTGGTGCTGATTTATTCGAAAGTATTGCTGCGGAGATAATTAGCGCCATGATTCTGGGAGGCACTATGGTCAAAAGATGCAAGCTAGAAGGTTTGTGTGTTAGATGTTGTCATCGTTTAAGTTTGGTTCGTTGACGCAGATGCATCTGGGTTTATACTTTTTCCGCTTGTGGTTCACTCCTTTGACCTCGTTGTCTCGGCGATTGGCATCCTGTCGATAAAAAATGCACGGGAAGTGGGAACCAAATACATGGAGGACCCCATGGCGGTTTTGCAAAGAGGATATAGCGTTGCTGTTGTTTTAGCTGTGATTACCTTTGGAGCGGTATGTATGACCTTTTCTTTCATTGAAGACTTGACTGACGCATTTGCCTAACAGTCTACAAGGTGGCTTTTATATACTGAGCAAGCGCCTACGGCATGGTTCCACTTTGCCTTGTGCGGACTCGTAGGCATTATCACGGCGTATCTCTTTGTCTGGATCTCTCAATACTACACTGACTACAAGTACGAGCCTGTGCGACTGGTGGCTCTTGCTAGCAGCACCGGGCACGGAACAAATATTATAGCGGGCGTTGGCCTTGGACTGGAGTCGACAGCCATGCCCGTTCTGGTCATAAGCGTCGCGATTGTATCAGCTTATTGGCTTGGAAGAACGTCAGGGCTGGTGGACAGTAAAGGTGCTCCCGTCGGAGGTTTATTTGGCACTGCCATTGCTACAATGGGGATGCTGAGTACAGCTGCGTACGTGCTGACCATGGACATGTTTGGTCCCATTGCTGATAATGCTGGCGGAATTGTTGAGATGAGCCAACAAGTAAGTGCAATTTCGTGTTCTATGTTTTTAACTGGAATTTGGTTTGCAGCCGGAGAGCGTGAGAGATATTACTGATGTTCTTGACGCAGTCGGCAACACTACCAAGGCAACAACCAAGGGATTTGCTATAGGCTCCGCTGCGTTAGCATCTTTTCTTCTGTTCAGCGCTTATATGGACGAAGTATCGTCTTTTACTCAGATTAGCTTTACTGAGGTAAGCAGTTGTTCTTCTAAGGCTGACTACAACTTGGATGCTTTCAGGTTGACATTGCAATCCCAGAAGTTTTTGTAGGTGGCCTGCTAGGAGCAATGTTGATATTTGTATTTAGTGCATGGTCGTGTGCGGCAGTAGGCAAAACAGCACAGGAGGTTGTGAATGAAGTTCGACGGCAATTCGCTGAGCGGCCTGGAATCATGGTTAGTTTGTTTTCATTGTTTTCCTTGAACTAAAGACTGCTGTCCTTTTACAGACCTATCAAGACAAGCCCGATTACGGCCGATGCGTATCAATTGTGGCAAAAGCATCACTACGGGAGATGATTAAACCCGGTGCACTAGCTGTTATCTCCCCTATAATTGTTGGTACGTGTTTTCTCTGGTTTGATTTGGGAGTAGTCCGATGCCTCGCTCTTTTCTTTGCAGGTGTTGTCTTTAGAATAGTAGGAGTTTACACGGAGCAGCCACTGCTGGGAGCAAAGGCAGTGGCAGGAATGCTAATGTTCGCTACCGTGTCTGGAATTTTGATGGCGCTCTTCCTCAACACCGCGGGAGGAGCTTGGGACAACGCCAAGAAGTTCATCGAGAGTGGTGCATTGGGCGGCAAAGGTAGCGAGGCTCACAAAGCTGCTGTTACCGGCGACACGTAAGTTTTTCTTCCCTGTTTTTCCTTGACAAAGAACTAAGCTTTCTTGTCCGCAGAGTTGGGGATCCATTCAAGGACACTGCCGGACCATCTCTCCACGTCTTGATAAAGATGCTATCGACGATCACGCTGGTGATGGCACCACTGTTCTTGGAGAGCTGAATGGAAAAACAAAAGAAACGTTTTAAAAGCGCTTTTAAAGCAAGCTCGTGCTAAGAGAACCTTGTGGAAGAGCACTTGAGCATTGGCTGTTTAGCAATGAGCATATGCACTGCATGGATGTGGCGTTTCAATAGAGACTAAATGCTGGGATCCCATGGAAATGTATTGTGATCCTGCACTCTTTTGAGTTTGATTGCCACTATTTGCTACTAGCAATAAATCTAGCAACAGTGCTGTGAAAGTTTTCTTACTACACTATATGTAGCATAAATGACAATATTATCTAGTTAATTTCTTAAAAAATAACTACGTAATGTAAAATTTAAAGAATATGATTTGGAATTGTTCAAGACTTTTCTAGAAGTTCTTCTTTTGACAAAGTTTATTTATGTAAACTACATTAACTAAAGCCAAAAGGACCGTCCTTTGTTTAGCGAGCCTTTTGGTTGCTTTACTATAAAGGTCGAACTAAGTTCTAGGGTTTACTTACACATGGAAAAGTCTCCGAGCCAAAAGCAAAAGAAAGAGTGGCGGACGAACGCATATTTCTATGCTTCCAAGGGCCAATACGCGAGGGCGATGATCTACGCCGAGCTGCTAGGGCAGCCTCCAGATATGATGGAGATCATGGATCTCATCGCGCCAACCGAGCCAGACTTCTTCAAGAAGCAGTTCGAGCTATGCAAACACCCCCCGCTACCATATACCTACCCGTGATTAAATCTATCATCCTTTGTAACTTCAAGTATAGACTATAGTCTGTTTCCAAAATCTATCACCTTCAGCCATGTTATTGTTTGTTTTCAAATCTATCATCCTTTGTACCTTCAACTATGTTATAATTTGTTTTCAAATCTATCATCCTTTGTACCTTCAGCTATGTTGTAACATTCCATCATCGTTTCCAAACTTGTTTTAAAAAAAGATAGTATTCCCAATTACTATTCCACGTGGCAAACCATACGCGGGCGGCTCAAGCAGCAAGCGCGCGCAAATTTTCCATCATTTTTCTCCTCCTTTTTTCTTGGCGCAAATTCTCAATCTCCATCTCTATTGTCTTGCAAAGAGATTTCTAGCCATGGCCTGGGACAATTGGGGAGCTCCTCCGCCAAAGAAACGCTACTCCAAGAAGGAGCGCTTCCCAGTTCCATGGAGAAAGGTGGAAATCCCACTCAAGAAGGAGAGGAGGCGGCCCGCTTCGCCGCTGGACGACCACCTGGATCAAGCCAAGGTGAAGAAATACCGCAAGAACAAGAAGAAGCGGGTCCCGCACGCACCCTCCCGTTGTGCCGGGGGAGATCTCGCCATGCAAGCCACTCTCGTATATCGGGTTCTTCTGCCCAAAGTTGGCCAAGCAAGCGGATGAAGTGGAGGAGCCAAATCCCCAAGGCCAGCCAAGCCTGATGCATTTCTGGATTTCTTCAAACCCCTGCGCTGGATCCGAGGCTGTCCCGCACCCCAGGAGTGTTGTTCATGCTCCAAAGCCGCCGCCGGATCCAAAGCTGGTTCCTCGGGTCAGGAAGAAACGTGTAAGTCTCGATCTTACGATTTTACATAAGAATTTATACGTGATCATCCATGCAGAGGAAATATAAGGTTCGTGGCTACAAAGTTAGGCGAGGATGGTATTGCGAGCAAGTCGGATACAAGATCAGGAACACACCTGTTGAGAACTTCCTGTGCTACTCACCCGAGGAGGAGGAGGTTGGAACCTAAATCTTTCTTGTGAGAATGTTTCTAAGGTAAACTCTTTTGAAGTTGCTCTCACGAGATTGTTTGGCTGATTGCTTGCGTTGTTTTTCCCTGGAAAAGCTGGTCGAGAGGATCAAGGAGCGCAAGAGGAGGAAAGCCGAGATCAAGTTTGAGAAGATGTATCGATCGTATTCCAGAGGCGCGGAGTACAAAAGGGACACATACTGCGGCAAATGGGCGATATGATCGAGCTGGTTGACGAGAAGCATGTCAAGAAGCTTGCGATCTTGTATGAGAAGTGGAGAATGCAAGTTTTCGAGCCCATACAGAGACAGATCGAGGACGAGCTGAATGGAATGTCTCCGGATTACATCAAGGACAAGCTCAGTGAGAAATCTTAAACTTTCAGTTCATTCATGCATTTGCCAATTTGCAGGATGGTACCAGTATCAATACTGCTCGATAGCCAACAAGCAGATGATTTTGCCAGATTTTCCACGTCCAGATTATAATCCTTTCAAGCCCTTGGAGCATACAATTAAGTACAGCCTCAAGGATGTGGTCGATCCTTACGTTAATTAGAATTTTATGGCGTTTTTCTTATTAATTGATATTAATTAAATTTCTGATCAGGAAAACAATGAGATTTACACTGGGATTGGAACATTATCCAGCATATCACTTTAGAGGTACTGTTTGGGGACATATTGAAGCCGATGAAGAAGATGGCTCAGAGATCGTCATCAAGCAACCAGAGTACGAGTTTAAGTTTTTAAATCGCAGATATGCTTTGATTTGTTTTTTCGTTTTTCAGGAAATATTATTCTCACGATTTGCTCTGGAACCAGAAGTTTGTTGGTCACGATTACGTGAAAGCAGAGTTCCCACTCGGGCGATATGTAAGTTTTAGTAGAAGTTTTTTCTTACTTCTAATACTTTGCTGCTTCTATCTATCTTTTCCAGATGAATCCTTACAAGGGAGTGTTGCCAGAGACACAGAAATTCAGGGAAAAACCTCAGGGTTTAGGCATGGTTTGGGACGTCGAGTGTCAAACTCAACCAGACCTCCGACTGTACTACAACTAAATTTCGTGTGTCCAAAACTGCTGCTTGAATTTATTTATAAAATAAGAATCTCTTTTCTTTACAAGGCATACGTTGTGTTAAGATACTTGATAATCTCCGCTTTCAAACATCTCCACGCCGGTGTTGGGGTCTTCTAAGAAAGGAACCTGGGAAACAAAAGAGTGATTCCAACACCATTGTATCGAATTTATGGGTACCTGAAAAATTCCAGTCCGTTCCAAGAGATAATTTCGTTTGGGACTTCCACGAGCGGCACTGGACAGTGTGAAGTAGAGACTTAAAAAAGAGCTCTCGAGAGAAGAAAACACAAACTAGAGACTTACTTGTAGTAAACGTGAGGGAGCTCCAATTCAACCAGCCTTTCTCGTACGATCTTACAGAAAGGCGAAAGCTGCTCACAAAATCCAGCTTTAAGATATAGCTCTCTCTTTCTTTTTTGAGTTTTCAATTCACCTCGTACGCCCAGACTTTTAGAGGCTTGTCTGGTTTGAAAACAAAAACATGGTTTGTATCGTCAAAGTGAAAGACGTGAAAGTTTACCTTGCCTGCACGCCCGAGTCTGTTATAATTTGATAGCAAATGAAAAGCCGGTGGAAAAAATATATACACAATACATTACCGTGAAGAAACCCAGTGACAGCATAGAAGGCCATTCCCTGGAAAAAAAATTTGAGGATAAACTAACAAGTCTATGTGGTATTTGAAAACAATTTACCGTATTTATCTACAAGGTACTTGATGATTTCATCCGATTCGTACATTGCAATTGGGATCTATCTGACGAAAAAACAAAACAAAAACGAGCATTTGAAAAGTTTGCAAAGCTTACCATAATTCAAATATATTTTAGCCTAAAATTTTAACCTTCCAGGAACCCTAAAGTTCTATTTCACCACCCTTATAGAAAATTTATCTCTTTGAATTTTACCCTTTGCTTTAGAGGATTTCAACCTCAATACTTCTTCTGTTTGACCATTTTTTGACACTTCAGATCGTACTGGACAGACTGAAAATGGAGACAGGAGAGTCAATTGGTGTATCGTTGCTTCGTAGACACCAAGGCGCTATGCAAAAGTCTCTTCCAACATGGCTCCCGCACTGCTGAACAAAGCTATACAGGTACATCAAGGCCGACAACCAGGGACGACTGCAAATCTCATGCGACACTGGAGTACGACAGGGATCCCACTATCAGCCACGCTCTTTGGCATCTTCAGTGATGGCTTGGAGAAGAATGGGAGAAGAAGAAATCTTTCGACCATCTAGCCTGCCGGCGTGCTGCTCTACCCTCTGTTAATTATATGCTGGCAAGAACCACGGGACAACTCCAAAAGCAACTGGGCACACTACCATTTCTGTCAGGACACAGACCTCCAGATCAACTGTAAGATATGTGTATGGTAAGGCACTCATGCGAGCTTTACATGTGATTCTCGCCACGAAAATACACTCACGCCTCTTCGCTTTCATTTTTTCTCTCCCTTAGTAGAGAAAGAGAGAAGGCAGTGGAAGTGCTGGAAGGCGAGGCCTGAGAGTCGGATCGAAGAAGACTCGTCAAAGCGAGACTCAGCGGGCAGTGTTGTAAGCCAAAGAGGCGAAGCAAATAAAGAGTGAGCGTCTAGACTACAACAAAAAATATGATGAGAGGAGCTATTCCAGGAGCTCTCAGGGGTCAGCCGTCTTGCACACTCTTGCATTTTTCTAGAACGAACAAACAGTCATTCTTGCAGAGGCAGATTCGCGGTGTAGCACTTGCCAGACGACTTATCCATTTTGGTCATGATGGATTGCGAGAGCGGCATGCTGTTGCAGACTTCTAAATGCGAAATGCAAGCTCAAACGTACGAACATAATCAATAAGAACATTGATATAGATTATTATTGCTTCATTTCGAGTCCCTTATTCAGGAGTATATATACTTGCATTGCAGTTGCGCTCCTTTTCCCTGGCAGAGCAAACAAATCATGAGAGAAGCGTGAGAAGAAAAAAGAGAAAGATTATAACCTTTCAACGTTGAAGCTCAAGGGCAGCACTGAGGGAGGAGTAGTTTCACCAAGCGGATGCCGCAAGCGCAAGTGGGCAAGCGACTACAGCACTCTGCGATTTTGGTTGGATTGCCCATAGCTTGTGTGATGCACCTCACAATGTCCTGGAGATTGGGTAGGGGGCACGGCGGGGGAGCAAGCTGCGCGGGAGCAAGCGTCGCAACCATGGCGAGCACCAGGAGCATGAGCAGCACGGACCTTGCAAAAGCCATGGATGGGAATCGAGAGAGGATAACAGAAGATGATGGCTTGGTGTTTTGCATTTGCCGCTTATATACACAGATCGAAAGAAAACTGGGACTCCACCAAAATTTCGCGGGCCAGCAGTAACGAAGGCCGCTGAGTAAAGCATGCTCTCAGCAAGAGTGATCAAGTTGACAATCCCGAGGATCTAAATCCATGGTGGGACTGGCTCACATAATTAATTATTTTCTTATAATAATTACATGTTTTAAACCCAACTAGAATATAATCATAATAATATATTGTAATATAATATAGTTAATCTTATAATTAATCTTATAGTGATCTTGACTTATGCCAGTAGATGTTCACGAAGAACACGTTCCTGTCAATTGTAAGACCCCTTAAGCACGGGCATTATATAAAGGCAAAGGTGAGATGAGCCGTGCGGTCTAGAACTTCTTACTTACGTTTTACGTGTCATTACAGAAATAGAATTTGTGGAAGTAAGAAGCAGAAGAAGAAGAAAGATGTGCCAGTGGGCCATGGGACCGTGGCTTTGTGCCAGATTGGAAGTCTTGTGCCCCTTGCTTACCGAAATGGGAGGTCCTGCAGAAGTTGGCATGAGATATAGGTGGGCAGAGTCTACGCCTCCTTTCAAAGCAAGCATCTGGAAAAAAAGTATATCAAGGGGATGGAATTGGGATATGGTTGCAGAGTTGGAGAAAGTCACGGTTGGTTCAGCTATCCTGGCGGGCCAACGCCAACTGAACGCACTGGACAGTTTCTGCTCTCTCACTGGCCTCCCAGTAAACCTTGAGAGGACTCTGCTTTTAGCATGTGGACGTGGGAAAAAGATGCTGCAGTCTCTCTACTATGGGATCAGCAAGGCTACATGCTGGACTATTGAAGCCAGGTATCCAGTGTCGAGTGCAGCGATTTTGACGTACAGTTGATGCATTGAAAGAGTATGGCCTGGTCCTTGTTGATGTCCAGGGCCCCAAGTGTTTGAGATGATACAGTGGTGATTAGGGTCTTCTAGATTGACCTTGTGATTGCATTGGCGTCGGTTTGCCTTACAAAGCTTGTTCGAGATGGGGGCTTGTTGGCCGCCTGGCATCCATGGTCCCACCAGGGAGAGCATGAAAACGTCCGAGGTTTTGTGGTTTTTGTGGCGAACAATGCCTTTGCTGCCAGACATGTCGCACTGAGACATTATTCCAGCCGATTCACTCTCTTGAGTTCGGTAGCCTGGCTGCTGTCCAGGTTGCTTCGTCATTATCGTCTCCCTGTGGCTTCAATTGTGCAGCCACGTCTGTGATTTGCACTATATATTCTCGTCCGACCAGCAGATAATCATTCGTGCTTCGACCATTCACTTGTTTGGCATGTAAAACCTTCTCCAGCGTCGTATCCCATTTAGTATGTAAAGATTGGTCGTCGTGGAGGAAGGAAATGGGCTTTTGACCTCTCACATATAGTTCACCACATAGTCCCATACTAGCTTTATTGTCCCAGTTAGTCCTAACTTTGTGGAGAGTAGATTTTGAACGACATTGGAGTGGTTGTGCATAGTGTTGCGGTGCAGGGGATTGCTGGTTGCATAGTTACCAACAAATGACAAAAGCGTTTGTTTAGATATTTAGTGTTTGCGTTTATATTTGTCTATAGCTTACTTTTCTTTACTTTCACTATTTATGGCATGTTATTCATAAACTGGTGTTGCATGAAAAAAAAAAGACCATACTGCGCAATATTGCATTTGCCAGATGATTGGCCTGCCATAACTATGTTGCTATTATGCACATTCCATGGTATGGCACATGGCACATGTCTCCTTTGATTAGGGTCATTTTTGAGGTGAGGACTGGGGCACCATGGTGGAATCCAAATCCAAGGGTATTAGTACTGAAAAATCTAATGCAATAGCAAGGTGATTCATATTTGAAATAGTTAGATGGTCTTATTTTTTTCCAATGACAGGATTCATAAGGAGGTTTTGACATATAGCATACACAGAGAAGTTTAAGAAACATGTATTGTCAATTTTAAACTTATTTACTATAGATAATGACATTTTTTTCTTCAGATTTTCGTTAAGTCTTATGGAAGAGTAAGATGGTATAAATGGATAGTCTATCCTATATTAAAGTTTCAGAAATACCTGACTAATATTTTAACTTTCTTTCGACCTGGACTGCTAAATTTTCATTTCAACAAGTTAGCTATTTTTCAAAATGCCAGTCCAAATATTTTATGAAATTTCTGCCCTGATCTCTACTGCAAAGAAGTAAATCCAGCAGAGATATTTGAACCACCTCTCAATGTGGAACATTTACACCATGGCCACTGGAAGCCACAGTCTCTTGGTTGAGCTCAAACGACGAGAAAAGCATCCATGACATCTATGAATCTGCGCTGAAGATCAGGTAGAGACGGTCACACAACGCTCTACACCTCGGAGAGATCAATTACATGTCATCCTTGCAAACAAAGCCACCATTTCCTATCTTGTTAACTACATAACGCAAATGGAATTATATGCCAACTCCATGTTACAAAGTCTTTGCAAGCCATGATTGTCAGAAATCCCGAATGCCCATGGCAGGGTTTTATCTGATACATAATTAGTAGTTTTAGACTCATTTAGCACTGCATTAACGGTTTGAAAGAAAAATTGGCGGGAGATTATTGAGGGGGTTAGGGTTTATGGGAGACTAGCTAGGGTCGCAAGAGCGGGAGAATGCTGGCGGCGCAGCGATGCTTTCCCATGACGAGACCGTTCCTGGCGGATTCAGCTTGCTCGATTTATGCGGGCGATGGGTTTCAGGGACAGGGAGAGGGAAGAAATGGGGGGTTTTCAATTTCGAGAAGGGTGAGAAGGGCGCGGGTATGCTGTGTGGCGGTGCTGGAAGCGATTGGCATGGACTCCGCAAGGATTAAAGTGGTTGGCATCGGAGGAGGTGGGAATAATGCTGTAAATCGAATGATTGGAAGTGGATTGCAAGTAAGTTCTTTGGTTTTTTGGTTGTTAAGAAAGTTTGTCGCAGGGAGTAGACTTTTGGGCCATAAACACAGATGCCCAGGCGCTGGTGCAGTCCTCTGCGAGCAATCGCTTGCAAATTGGAGAGGAGCTCACTCGGGGATTGGGTAAGAGATTCTTGACACTCAAAAGCTAGCATGTCTTTTCTTTTTCCTTTTTTTTTCTCTGGTGATTTTGTTTTTCTTTTGCAGGAACCGGTGGAAAACCGAGCCTTGGTGAAGAAGCTGCCGAAGAATCCAAGGATGATATCAAGGTGGCTGTCGCTGATTCCGACTTGGTTTTCATCACAGCCGGGATGGGTGGAGGAACAGGCTCTGGAGCAGCACCAGTCGTCGCTCGTCTATCCAAAGAGAAGGGACAACTGACTGTGGGTGTTGTCACGTATCCTTTTACTTTCGAAGGGAGACGACGATCTCAACAGGTGCGCGAGTTTCTTTCTCACCTTTTTGTTTTCGTGTGATGCTAATGCGACAGCTTTGTAGGCTTTGGACGCCATTGAGAGGCTGCGAAGCAACGTAGACACACTCATTGTGATCCCCAACGACAGGCTGCTGGACTTGGTTCAAGAACACACTCCTTTGCAGGAAGCTTTTCTTCTCGCGGACGATGTTCTTAGGCAGGGTGTGCAGGGCATCTCGGACATTATCACTGTAAGTTTATGGTCCTTCGGTAGAGATTGTTCTGAAAAATGTCATCTCCAGATTCCAGGACTGGTGAACGTAGATTTCGCAGACGTGAAAGCGATTATGGCAAACTCAGGGACCGCCATGCTTGGAGTCGGGACTGCTAGCGGCAAAAACCGGGCAGAAGAAGCGGCTCAGCAGGCCACATCAGCTCCATTGATCGAGAGATCGATCGAAAGAGCCACGGGTGTTGTTTACAACATCACTGGTGGAAGGGACTTGACGCTCCAAGAGGTTAACCGAGTCTCTCAGGTCTGTATAGCCATAGCCGATCATAAAAACTTGATGTTCTCATGGTTTCTCTCCTTTTAGGTGGTGACCGGCTTGGCAGACCCCGCAGCAAATATCATATTTGGTGCTGTGGTCGACGAGAGATACGACGGCCAAGTTCACGTCACGATAATCGCCACTGGTTTCTCGCAAACTTTCCAGAAGACACTGGTGGATCCCAAAGCCAGTGTGGCTCCGGAAGGAAAGAAGAGCCCAGCAGCGCCTGCTGTGGAGCAGCTCCCATGGAAGCGTGGTGTTCCCGTGTCCTCCAGGTTTGCTCAAGGTCTCAGATAAGTAGCTCCAAGGTGTGATATAGACAAATCTCACTCTGGAAACAGCAGCGAGGGAGAATTCATGTTAAGTGGAGAAATCAAGTTAGACATAGCTACACTCTTGGGTCATGTTACAGAGTGCTCGCATAGTATTGCTGCACACGTCCATGAGTTGCAAAGACTCGTCTGCTCCATCGAGAAGACACTGGAAGAATGAAAAAGAAATCGTTAAAGAGCTCTTCTTGCTAGTTCTTCTTGCTACTAGTACCTTGTCAGCTTCGGCCAGTCTCTGGCAGATTTTAGCTTTCTGCTCGTCCGATATCTCAGGCGATTCGACAACGTGATCGTAAACCTGAGAAGAAATCTTATCTTTGCAAAAGCACTTAATGCTTCCAAGTTACCTGAGAAAATATTTGTGAGACAGGATAGCCTTCGGCTATGATGTTGGTCACCTCCTTTTGAGCTTGATCAAACACTCCACTCGTACAGGCTTGCAAGAGGGACTGGATCACGTTATCTGGAATAACCTGCAACGAGATATCGCTAGAAATTGACGACAAAGGGATCAAAGGCTTACCCCGGAAACGCTGAGGATATCCTTGCTTGTGATCGATGATCCATAAAGCCTCGTAGCGCTCTACACAAAACCAAACAGTTCTCGATTACGCAGAAGCACAGAACTCTAAAACCTGTAGATATGTGATTGCTCGACGAAGATCTCCCTCGGACACTCGACTCAATGTAGCCAGTGCCTGATATATATATAAAAAAAGTAAAACATAAGAACAATAGGAAAGGAAGCAGAAGAAATCGTAACCTCGGAGCCCATTTGCACCCCCTCCTCTGAGCATATATGCAAAATCCTCCCGTGCATCACGTCTTGGTTCAAAGACTTGAAACGAAACTTCGCACATCTTGATGCCAGTGGCTCGATAATCCTAAAGCACAGAATGATAGTTTTACACTCGACAGAAAAGATTTTCTTGCCTGCTTATGTAGTTGCAAATGAAGCAAAATCTCGTCACCTTCGAGTAAGTTTCCATTGTACGCCTCAACGCGTTCTAGAACCCGAACTGATTGATCAGAAGGGAGCGAGAAAAAAAATTTCTGCAGATAGCTCAAACCTGTGCATCCTCAGTCATTGAATCCGCTTCGTCTAGGATGATAACTTTGAAAGGCGGACAAGGATAGTCACTGTAAAAGCAACGACGAGGTCGCATAAGCAAAGGTATAAACTCGTTTGTCCAGAAAACAGCGAAGTACCTCACTCCACGACCCACTGCAACAGCAGCAAAGTCCTTGATCTTCGTTCGCACCACATTTATTCCTCGATCATCACTGGCATTCAACTCGAGAACTCTGGTCTTGTAAAGCTGCGGCCTACGAGAAAAAAAAACGAAAAGAAATCACACAGAGAAGATTTAAAAACCACTCGCTTCTTCAAGAACAAGAATAAAAGGAAAAGCTCACCCAAAGAGCTCCCTTGTTACCGCCAGCGCAGTCGACGTCTTCCCAGTCCCAGGCGGCCCATAGAAGAGCAAATGCGGCAGCTGCGCGCTCACAGAAATCGCTGGCCTCAAGCAAGAAAAGAAAAGAAAGCACTCACATTCCCCGTCTCAAGAGCATTCGCGAGCGTGCGCACGACCTCGTCCTGGTGAGCCACATCCTTGACCTGCTTGG